AGGGAAAACTTCTCGATTGGAGACTTGAAAAATCCAAGTCACTGAGTGGGGTCGGCTATATGAATCTTAGAACGCCATTGTGATCGATCATGTGTCATGTCCTCCGTTAAATCCAAGTACTCTAAGTCTTTTCTTAGAGTCTCTTCTAAAGTTTTCCTAGATCTTCCTCTACCCCTTCGGCCCTGAACCTCTGTCCCGTAGTCGCATTTTCTAATCGGAGCGTCAGTAGGCCTTCTTTGCACATGTCCAAACCACCGTAACCGATTTTCTCTCAGCTTTCCTTCAATTTTGGCTACTCCTACCTTACCTCGGATATCTTCATTCCTAATCTTATCATTTCTCGTGTGCCCACACATCTACCGAAGCATCCTCATCTCCGCTACACCCAGTTTGTGTACGTGTTGATGCTTCACCGCCCAACATTCTGTGCCATACAGCATCGCCGGCCTTATTGCCGTCCTATAAAATTTTCCCTTAAGCTTCAGTGGCATACGACGATCACACAACACGCCGGATGCACTCTTCCACTTCATCCATCCAGCTTGTATTCTATGGTTGAGATCTCCATCTAATTCTCCGTTCTTTTGCAAAATAGATCCTAAGTAGCGAAAACGGTCGCTTTTTGGTATTTCCTGATCTCCGATCCTTACCCCTAACTCATTTTGGCCTCCATTTGCACTTAATTTACACTCCATATATTCTGTCTTTGATTGGCTTAGGCGAAGACCTTTAGATTCCAACACTTCTCTCCAAAGGTTAAGCTTCGCATTTACCCCTTCCTGAGTTTCATCTATCAACACTATATCGTCTGCGAAAAGCATACACCAAGGAATATCATCTTGAATATGTCCTGTTAATTCATCCATTACCAACGCAAAAAGATAAGGACTTAAGGATCAGCCTTGATGTAATCCTACAGTTATGGGGAAGCTTTCGGTTTGTCTTTCATGAGTTCTTACGGCAGTCTTTGCTCCTTCATACATATCCTTTATAGCTTGAATATATGCTACTCGTACTCATTTCTTCTCTAAAATCCTCCAAAGAATGTCTCTTGGGACCCTATCATACGCTTTTTCCAAATCTATAAAGACCATGTGTAAATCCTTTTTCCCATCTCTATATCTTTCCATCAATCTTCGTAAGAGATAGATTGCCTCCATGGTTGAGCGCCCAGGCATGAACCCGAATTGGTTGTCTGAAACCCGTGTCTCTTGCCTCAATCTATGCTCAATGACTCTCTCCCAGAGCTTCATTGTATGACTCATTAGCTTAATACCCCTATAGTTCATGCAATTTTGTACGTCGCCCTTAATCTTGTAAATAGACACCAAGGTGCTCTTTCGCCACTCGTTTGGCATCTTCTTCGTTTTCAAAATCCTATTGAAAAGGTCAGTGAGCCATGTTATATCTGTCTCTTCCAAGGCTTTCCACACTTCAATCGGTATATCGTCTGGGCCCATTGCTTTTCTATGCTTCATCTTCTTCAAAGCTACAACCACTTCTTCCTTCCTGATTCAACGATAAAAGGAGTAGTTTCTACATTCTTCTGAGTTACTCAACTCCCCTAAAGAAGTACTCATTTCATGTCCTTCATTGAAAAGATTATGAAAATAACCTCTCCATCTGTCTTTGACCGCGTTCTCTGTAGCAAGAACCATTCCATCCTCATCCTTAATGCACCTCACTTGGTTTAGGTCCCTTGTCTTCTTTTCCCTTGCTCTAGCTAGTTTATAGATATCCAACTCTCATTCTTTGGTATCTAGTCGCTTATACATATCGTCATAAGCCGGTAACTTAGCTTCTCTCACAGCTTTCTTCGCCTCTTGCTTCGCTCTTCTATACCTTTCACCATTTTCATCAGTCCTATCCTTGTATAAGGCTTTACAACATTCCTTCTTAGCCTTCACCTTTGTTTGTACCTCCTCATTCCACCACCAAGATTCCTTTTGGTGTGGAGCAAAGCCTTTGGACTCTCCTAATACCTCTTTTGCTACTTTTCGGATACAGCTAGCCATTGAATCCCATCTTTGGCTAGCTTCCTCCTCTCTATCCCAAACACACTGGGTGATTACTTGCTCTTTGAAAATGACTTGTTTTTCTCCTTTTAGATTCCACCATCTAGTCCTTGGGCACTTCCAAGTCTTGTTCTTTTTTCTCACTCTTTTGATATGTACATCCATCACCAACAAGCGATGTTGATTAGCCAAGCTCTCCCCCGGTATAACTTTGCAATCCTTACAAGTTATACGATCCCCTTTCCTCATTAGAAGAAAATCTATTTGTGTTTTTGACGACCCACTCTTGTAGGTGATCACATGTTCTTCTCTCTTCTTAAAGAAGGTGTTGGCTAAGAAGAGATCATATGCCATTGTAAAATCCAAGATAGCTTCCCCATCCTCGTTTCTCTCCCCAAAACCATGGCCACCATGAAAACCTCCATAGTTGCCTGTCTCTCTGCCCATGTGTCCATTTAAATCTCCTCCTATAAATAACTTCTCCGTCTGAGTAATTTCTTGCACCAAGTCTCCAAGGTCTTCCCAAAATTTCTCCTTCGAACTCGTATCCAACCCTACTTGAGGTGCGTACGCACTAATCACATTGATGAGTTCTTGTCCTATTACAATCTTGATTGCCATGATTCTATCTCCTACCCTCTTGACATCTACATCTTGTGTCAAGGTCTTGTCCACAATGATGCCAACACCGTTTCTCGTTCTATTTGTGCCCGAATACCAAAGCTTAAACCCTGAGTTTTCTAGATCCTTTGCCTTAAGACCAACCCACTTAGTTTCTTGTAGACACATAATATTTATCCTTCTCCTCACCATAACTTCCACTACTTCCATAGTTTTTCCCGTTAAGGTTCCTATATTCCACTTTCCTAAACGCATTCTACTCTTTTGAACTCTACCCTTATGTCCTAGCTTCTTCACCATCCCCCGTCTAATAGGATCAAAGTACTTCTTTTGTGTGTCCTGTGTAAAGTTGATAGGAGCATAAGCTCCCAAACAACTTTGAGTGGAGTCGTTCGAAAAGAAGTTTCTATGACCTCCTTGCTCATTTAACACTGCATCTGGGTGCCGATGGAGATACAGCGACCCTTACTCACTTATCACTGTGCTCGGGCCACACAGCGCGCCACTTACGGGTGACGTCCTAGTTTTAGCGCGATTTCGTTCTAGATTCATTGTCATAAGGATTCGATGTAACTGTGGAGTGCCGGCTGTCGACTACCTGACGCCCTCCCCCTCCTCCTTTATCCGGGCTTGGGACCGGTAATGTAAGATAAACTTACACAGGCGGAGTTGGTACTGTGAAGGGACTGATTGAAGAAAAAGATTTAGTTCAGGCAAGTTCACTTTATTTCCAGGCTTGTTATTTTTAAATGTTCAAATGTGTGAAATGTTGGAGAATAGAATCCCACAATGGTTATATGACATAATAATATACAATTATCATATCGGAGTTTCCACCCCTAATATCACCAAGGCCTTTTGTGATAGAACCCAACACCTAATAATAGGTGGTTAAGTTGGAACAATATTGGTGATATTGATAGTGGACCAAGCTGGCCTATAAAGTTGGTCATGAGATGTAATCATTCTTATAAATGTCTATTTTTTCTGTCCAATTATAGTTGTCTGTCGCTGCTTTTTAAACTTTTATTGCTGTTATATGTGCTGCTCAGTAATTTTATCTGATACTCTGATCCTATGCTAGATTAAAAATGTGCCGAAGGTTGAGCACCTTCTCAAGTATCCTGTGCCTTGGCCTAATATAGCATTCATTCCTTTTTTGTGTCAAATTCAACACCTATCACCACAATGGTTCTAAAAATAACAGTGTCGTCTGGACTCTGGATTATTTCCCACTTACCAATTGGTAAAATTGGTGGTAGTGTATCTTATTTTTGGATGTTTCGCAGATGTTATCTAGTTTCAGAAGTCAAAAGACACTATTGATTTCTTTATGTGCCCCCTACTTTATGCGAGTTAAAAAGTTAGGATAACAATGGAGATCCATTTTTTTTTTCAAATACAATATGAATCATGTCACCCTAAAATAACTGATTGATCCTACTAATTTGTTCCAATTAGAGTAAATACGTTAGATGTTATCATATAGAATTTATGCACCGCTGCAGCCAATAACAGTGAAATAAAATCATCTTATGATGATAATATCGTATAGAACTTTGTAACAAATTACAAGTCCTCTAATGACTCAGGTTTGTAACAGATAGTAGATCCTGCTGAGATTGAAAAAATGGTAGAAAAGGTGGTGTCAGAGAATCCAAAGCAGCTGGAACAATATCATGGTGGAAAGACTAAACTGCAAGATTATTTTGCTGGGCAGGTAAAATTTTATCAAACTGTAATCCATATGCTCAGTTTTCTATTCATGATTAAGCTATTGATAATGTTTCATAAGTTGAGTGAAATGGTTTTGAACATTTTAACTCTTTGCAGGTAATGAAACTATCAAAAGGAAAAGCAAATCCAGGGCTCCTGAACAAGATTCTTTTAGAGAAATTAAACGCCAAAAGCTGATAAAGGTCTAGATGATGCAATATTGTGGCCACCAATGGCAAACCAGCATTGCTGAATACTAAAAGCATTTCGACATTTGTTGCTTGAATTATGTCTTGCCTGCGGTAGAAGCATATCTTGACTTTGACGTGTTTGTGGTCACTTCTGAGTTCTGAACCAGCATTCAACAGCTGCTTGAGATTTGACCTGCCATATCTGAAGTATGGATCAAGAGTATCTGGAGCTTGAAGAAACGATTTGCCTCTAATTTTATACTTCCTGCTGCAGTTTGATTGCTCTACAATCTAAAATGCTGGATAGAGAGACATTGAATTGTAACCTCAGCTTCTTCCGGTACATAATTCATTTTCCAGAATTCAAGCTCTTAATTTTGGTGTTCAAAGATTCATTTGTACATAAAAGAAATGAGATCAATTACATAACACTTACATTTTGTGTACTATCTACCGCTCACCATGGATTAGGAACTATCCAAAAGGGTGGCGGATCAACTCTCCACTTCCGAAATTCATAAATTGGCTTCACAACTTTGTTAGCTATGTTGTATACTCCCACATCGTGACCACCATAATCATAGTCGTGATCTCTACCGACGTCTAAAGTGATCTCGTCCCATCTATCGTCTGTGAAGTAAATTGAGTTTTCTTCGCATTCTGGAAAATCATGAACGGATACTGACATCGACTGATTCCCGCCTAAAAATAAGGCACGATCTCGCAAAGACTCAACTTTCTCCCACTTAGTGGCTGTGAAATTCAACTTAAGGACATAAAACTGCAATGTTCTATAGGGACAGAAGCAACCGTACTCATCTAAATCCCCCTCACAAATAGCCGTGCCCTCATGGTTGACGAAGTTGCCGATAACTCGCCCCACCGACAAAATCTCACCCAAAGACTCCACCAAGTAAGTTTGAGTAGAATATTTTTCCTTGGACAAGTCTTTAGTTATACGATTCACACTTTCAAGTTCTAAAAATGGTTGATGAAGGTTCATGGTTTTGATAGGAGTAGAAGATTTTTTGAAGTCCCAAACTTCGACCGAGCCGTCCCCTGCCAATGCATACAACTTCTCTTTGTGGAAAATAACATCACAGTATTCTCCATGCACACCTTCTAAACCTCTCCATCTGCTGCCCTTCTCCCCATACTTGCAAAACCCAAGTTTTGAAGGTAACGCACCATAAATTATCGCAACAACAAAGCTGTCGTTGTGAGAAGGGTCGGATGAGAGGACAGCTTTGGCAATAAAATTCGTGCGCAATTGTTCAATGCTGTCAGGATTGATGGGGCAATGCAGAGACCAAATTTGTGGGAGTTGAATTCTACGCCGCGAAACTGGATTCAACAGATGCGGGATTGAATTGTTGTCCATGATCACCAGCCAACCGTATGATGAACCAACGCACCAAGCATCATGACATTCTTGTAATACGCTCTTGATAGTGTAAACTTTTTCTTCTCTAAGGCTGTAGAAGCAACGAGTGTTAACAACATTTTCTTCATCACTGGGAAGCATGAGCCATGGAGAAGTTTGAGGAAACGATGTGGCATAATAACATTTCTTGGCGTGATTCCAAGAAGAACAAACAGATTTAAATCGTAGCTTGTCGGGGAAGGAGAAATTTTTCATGAATAACTCTAATATTTCAGATTGGAGGTCGGGCCAATTTGGTGATATTGATCTTCTCGTTTTGTGGCGACGGTGATATACTTTTCCGAACATTATTGTTGAATGAATGGTCATGATGCTTTGTAAATAGTGAACGTAAAGAGCAGACCCCATCTTTATATTGGACTTGAGTTTGGGGGAATCCAGTTTGAGTTCGGAAATTAAACAAATTCATAATTGTTTTAGGAATACTAATCCAGGTTGCATTAGGAAATTAGTTAATCCCGGGTATCCTACTATAATTACTAATAATTTTAGGAAAGCTATATATATCAATGCCCTAGCTACTCAACTACCATAATCCATAAACCTAGCTACGTACTCGAGTCGAAACCCTACCTAGCTACTCAAAACCCCATACGCCATGGCTCTCATTCGACGTCGGCAACTAAAGTCCTTGGCCCCTCTCTCCGATCACCGCCTGCGTTTCTCTCTTCCCCTCCATCCGCCTGAACTCATAGCCGCCGCCAACTACTCTTCCGCTTCAATCTCTGTCGCCGATCTCGAGACACTCGAACTCCTCGGCCAAGGTAATGGCGGCAAGGTCTACAAGGTTCGTCACAAGTGACTTCCACCACCTACGCTCTCAAACTCGTCAGCAGTGACTCAAAGCCCACCGTCCAGTGTAATCTCTTCCGCGAGATTGAAATCCTCCACCGCACCGACTCTCCCCACATTGTCCGCTGTGAAGCCTTCTTTGAACAGCTCTTGGGAGACATCAAGATCCTCATGGAGTTCATGGACTCGGGCACCCTCGAAACTTTACTCATAGACAATGGCGCGTTCTCTGAGGCCAAGCTTGCCCACGTGCCACGTCAAGTTCTCAGTGACCGGAACTATCTTCACACGCACAACATCACTCACCGTGCCAATCTTTTGGTGAACACTAACATGGAAGTGAAGATCCCCGACTTTGGCGTAAGCAAGATCGTTCTCTTAACCTCCGACGGCGCCTGCAGTTCTCCCATTGGTACTTGAACACATGAGCCCTGAAAGATTCAACAAGGAGAACTGCGGCGGCAGTTACAATGGTTACGCCAGTGACATATGGAGTTTCGGCTCACCATCATGGAGCTCTACGTGGGTCACCATCCGCTGTTTCCTCAGGTCAGAGTCCCGACTGGCCGTCCCTCATGTTGGCTATATGTTTCGGAGAGCCACCGAGTTTGCCTGCTGGCGCTTAGCACGGGTTGAAGAGTTTTATTGGGGCTTACTTGCAGAAGGAAGTCGGAAGAAGGTGGACAGCCGGTCAGTTGTTAAGGCATCCCTTCGTCACCGATCTTTCTTTTTGAACGTTAGTTTCTGTTGTAGTGTTGTACATTGACTGATTGATTTCCACGGAAAATCGAAATGCGATGAAAAATTAATTTTTATATTCCCATTCTTTTCTTATGCAATTTTAGGGAAAAAAAAAAATGTTGAATCAAATTACTCGGCAGTTTGCACTCAAATTTAAATTATTTCGTAGATTAAAGACTACTTTCAATTGTTTTGTGGAAAACAGGGTGACTAGAGAAAAAAAAAAGTATAGAAGGAAAAAAAAAAAAAATGTGAATGTCTTCCCAAAATAAAATCGGAGCATGACTAATGCAGTCTTTGCAGACTCTCAAGGAACTTCAGGAGCTTTTTTCTTGCCAGAACAATGTGGCACTTGACACTTGTTATGAATAAGAGGTTGAAACAATTTTACGGCACTTTATGAGAGAAACAAAAATAGAAAAGAACAAGGGGTTTTGAACATTAGTCCTTGCAAAAGATTAAAATTTAAAAAAAAACCTGGTGTTAGATTACATATTCAATTTAATCCCTTGAAGTGTACTTTTATCAAAATTTATATTCAATTTTTGTTATTTAATGTGTATTTTTTTTAATATCTCCACATCAAATTTTAATTTTATTAATATGCACACATTTAGTTCTTTAATTATAAATGAACATAAATGAAAAAATATTAAAACAAGTTTGTGATACAAAAATATATAAATACATAAGTGTACAGAAATGGTTGTGCCGAAATATATATAATTAATTTTTTTGTACCGAAATATTTGTACTGAAATTTATTATAATGAACCTAAATGTATGTATCGAAATGTATTATATTGAATTAATGTACTTAAATGTCAATACCAAATTGTATGTACCAAAATGTGCATACCGAAATGAATGTACCGAAATATAATATATTGCATTAATGTACCTAATAGTCAATACTCAAATGAGAGGTATTAGGTTTGAATTTCGTGGATGACGAATTCGATACCAAATTAAGTTGTCATTTGTGTGGTTTAGCCGAACACCCCCCCCTGTTTCCTAAATGTAGACATTAAAATATATTATGATAAATGAAATGAAAATTAAATTTAAATGTAATTAATACATTAAAATAGGAATAAAAAGATAAATAAAAAATCAAAATATAACTAATAAATGAGATGATTAAATGTACTAGGGACTAAAATTGGATTTTAATCTTACAACAGGTTATATTCTAAAACTCATTGTCATAGCTCGTCCCGAAATATTATAATTCTAGGTGTGAGATTACTTAATTACCCTTGGTCGTTTTGTGTGGTTTTATGGGTGAGGTCTTAGTTGGACAAATTCTAAATTTTCCTAAGTTTTGGAACACTTAGGACTTAAAATGTTTTCCTTGGTTGGTTGGTGACTCACGTGGACCTCACACACACACGAACTCTTCCCCTCTCTTCTCACCCGTGCTCTCTCTTTCTCGAACTCACTCTCTCTCCTTTCTCCCGTAAGGACGAACTTCGAACTCAAGCTTCCACGCACGGATCGACATTCAAAAGGTAATATTCTTGTTCCCTACAAGCTCCTGAGTTCATTCGTACCATTTTTAGATCTTGAAACCCTTAAAATCCCGAGAAACCATAACCTTCGATTTGGTGCACTGTTCATGCACACGTAAATGTGAAGGTTTCAGTGTATTTTAAGCTCAGAGGGAGCTTTAGAAGGTCTTCACGAAGCTCGGAGAAGAAAAACGACGTGTTTTGGACGTCGGGAAGTCGAGATCGACGAGTTTCAAGTTTGGCTGGACTATCGAGACTTCCCCGATGAGATTTCGTGAATTTCAAAGCTTGAAAGTAGTAAGTTTGTGTTCTACTCACTCTAAGCTTCATTTTGAGACAAATTGCATGGATTTTGGTGCAAAAATGAGTGAGAAATAAGGTTTTTTCAAATTTTCCAGTTTCTGGCGAACGGCGACCAGCGAGGCTAGCTGGAGAAGAAGATAGAATATTCCGTCAAAGTTGACGGAATATTCTGACGCCGTCAGATAAAATTAACAGATTCCGTTAATTTTAACAGAATATTCCTAACGAGGTTAGGGGATTCCGTTAGGTTCCCTGCGCGTGGCCGCGCGTGTTGCCGTGCCTTGGCTGGCGCGTGGGTGGTCGAAAAATTATTCTAAAAATATGGAGATGTTCGTGAGGTTGTGTAGATCACGTTGGTATATTCAAACACCGCATTTGAGCATTGTATGAGAAGTTATTAGCTAGTTTTGGCTATGTGCTTTAAATAACGTTTTTATAGTTAATTTGCATATAGGTGAGACTTATCCCGAGGACGAGCACAATCAAGGGCGACTCGGGGGCTACGACTTTTCGACATACTAGTGAGTGGGCTTTTGATTTTCATTATATACTTATATACGTGATATTTTCCCAGAAAAATACGTTTAAATTAAGTATGCCTTGAATGCCATGCATATAAATTTATATTTTGTAAATGAAATAGTATATGATGCATGATATATATAATTGTGGTGCTGTGGACGCTCAGGTAAGCTCATGTGAGTTATGCATTGTGATGTGATTTAAAGTTGTGATTAATTGAGAAACATAGCGCTTATAAACCTGCACCTAGGGTGATTGTGATTTAGCCAGAGATATGGCACATGCTTGTTTATGATGTCACCTCCCGCACCATATGCTCACATTGGATCCAATTTAGGTGCACAGTCTTGTTGTACAGACCATCATAGGTGGTTTCGACTTGTAGGTGACTAGTGATTTATCGCCCAGCTATTATGAGAGAGTAGTATGAAGGAAATTTTGTGAAAAACATATTCATTTGAGCAACATATATGGCATGCAATTAACAATTAAAGGCGGAATCATGCTTGTATGCACTCAAAAACAAAACATTACCCATGAAATTCAAAGCCTAGTAGAAGGGTGAACCAAGACTCAACTCAAAACAAAGTGAGTTAAGAAACTTTATACCTTTGTTGATTCCTCTTTGCATAAGCAAAGGCTAATCACCCAAGGAGGGGGCCTTCATTCTTGCTTTTTAGCTCCATGGATTTCTTGGATGAGGATGGTTGAAAGGATTCTCCAAGTTCCTAAAGTTGAGAACCTCTAAGTCTCCACGCCAAGGTAGGACTTGAAGAAGAGATGAGTGACCTAGAGGAAGTAAGATTGCTAGCTAAAATACTCTAGGGTGGCCGGCCTCTTAGCGAGAAAAATGGAGCTTGTGTTCTCATCTTTTCTCTAAAAGAAACCCTAAGGATGAAATGGCTATAAAGTTGCCTTTATACCACCTCACAATGGAGTGGCAAACTTGCAATTAAGCCAAGTTCACTACCCCTCTCTATATGGCCGGTTTTCCCAAGCCTTTGGGCTATTTTGGGCTTCTTGAATTTTGTATGTTAAGTTGTCATACAACTTAAGCTATTGGGCTTGACGATTCGAAGCCCAATTTGGGCTTTAAGGCCCAAAACTAACTCAAGGTTTAAAACGAACTTATTCGTTTGATTAATTAACATATTAATTAATTATTGCTATAAACAATTAAACCATTTAATTGTCCTTACTCATCTCCGTTGTTTCTTCAATCTCTACCTTACATGGTGTACGATCCATTAGGTTCCTTTTAGTGAGGCAGTGGGCGATTAGAACTCTTTCAAGTCGATTGTGAATTGAAACTTACTTTCAATTCTC